CTGGTAACATGTAGACTTGGTAACATGTAGACTGGTAACATGTAGACTTGGTAACATCTAGACTTGGTAACATCTAGACTTGGTAACATCTAGACTGGTAACATCTAGACTTGGTAACATGTAGACTGGAAACATCTAGACTTGGTAACATGTAGACTTGGTTACATGTAGACTTGGTTACATGTAGACTTGGTAACATCTAGACTTGGTAACATCTAGACTTGGTAACATGTAGACTTGGTAACATGTAGACTTGGTAACATCTAGACTTGGTAACATGTAGACTGGTAACATGTTGTCGTGGATGCTTATCCACTTGTGTTTTTCCTCATTGATTCTATTTGTTGTTGTTTATTCAGATTTATTCTTTCATGCTCGAAATTTAGTTGTATTATTAGATCATGTTTTGCTTTATCTATTCGTCTTTATTTTGTTCAATTACAAGCAGTATTAGCTAAGATATAGCCAGTAGAAGTTATTACATGTCAAGACTTTAATACATGTATCTCTATTATAAATTAACACAGATTCGAGTTACATAAGCCATTTAATAATAATCATTATTACATATGTACGGCAGTTTATTTTGATTCGTCCCTGAAATCAAAATCGGTATTTCCACACCTTGTATGCAAATGAGTCTGAGAGCAAACAAAGTAGTCTCTTCAGGAGTACCGTTTTTCAAAACATAGAAGAAATAAACAATATTTAAGAACTACGATATTTTTCTCTTGGGGTACATGAATATACTTGCCGAGTGAAATGAAATTTGAACAACAGTAATGGTAACTCCTTGGCAGTCACTTATTTTGACAAAAACTAATTTGCATATCACCCATGCAATAATGTTTTCAGTATTTTCACGGTCGATATGCAAATGAACATGGTATTTCCATTGGCTACCGAACTATTTTTATTTTGTAAACACATTTTTGTCTGCTATTTTTGTCCAGTTCAAATTGTTCAGCAACGTTACGTTTTCGGCATGTTAGGTGTACATCTCATGGAATACTACGATTGGGGGAACTTAATGTATGTTGACCACCTGGAAACTGAGTTTTATAAACCTTGAAGGGCTCTCAGAAGATCCACCCGCTGTAAAATCAGCGATTACTATGGAGCCGCAATCATCAACATCGAGATACCAGGAGGTTTCTGCTGGCGACGTTGCGGCAGTTCCAAATAAAGATTACCAACGCCAAATGAGCAACATTTTAACTGGTAACCAAGACTCAGTCAATCCACGACCCAAGAAGCAATATCACACACGAAGTTGTAGCGTGCAGCTCAGCGACAACCGTTGTCGACGAAAGTCATCTCGTCAGTGGAGTACAGCAGTTGCACGGCATGTTTACCAATGCACAATTCTGTGGTGGAACTTTTAACTTCAACATAAACTGTGTATCATAGTCGTCCAGTTCAAGTTCCGGTTCTGTCGTCGTCCCAACTAAACGTCCACAAGTTATTTATTCGGACAGTGACTCAGATTAGACGCCTGATTATTTTAATTTCAAACAAACAGTGACACGCGTTCTCCGCTTCGCTCGTGAAAGTAAGGCCGCAGGATACACCACATCACTCGTGTAAATAACTTCCATACGCAACGAAAGCCACAGGCAGGGTGTCGGGTTCTGTCATAATAGACAGCACGAACGCAATAGGAATCAGTTGCAAGGTCGATTTTAAGCCGATGTATCAATATTGAAAACCTATCACTGTGTCTCCCTCCTATTTTAATCCATAGGTGTGAATCCTACTGAACCCTATAAAAGGGGCTTTCTATCGTGTATTTTTCAGTTGCATCCTTGTTACATTGTAGTTCCTTTGTTGTAACACTGTACGATTAAATAGTGTATTGTTTAGACGTACATTACACTGCCTTTATTATCTGAACCTGATCGAATGTGAGTGAATATCATCCACACACGTAGACTTGGTAACATGTAGACTGGTAACAATAGATTCCTCGAACATTTGAGATGACAATGTCATAATGTCAGAAATGTAAAAAAAAAATCGGCACCATAACGATGATAGAGGGCGCTGCAGATTAGTCAAGACTGCAAAAAATCTTATAAATGTAAAAAAAACGTTATGAAGGCACCATAACGATGATAGAGGGCGCTGCAGATTAGTCAAGACTGCAAAAAATCTTATAAATGTAAAAAAATCGTTATGAAGGCACCATAACGATGATAGAGGGCGCTGCAGATTAGCCAAGACTGCAAAAAATCTTAGAAATGTAAAAAAATTGTTATGAAGGCACCATAACGATGATAGAGGGTGCTGCAAATTAGCCAAGACTGTCAAAAAATCGGTACGAGGGCAGCATAACGATGATAGAGGGCCCTGCAGATTAGCCAAGACTGCAAAAAATTCTCAATTTTTTTTTAAAATTCTGTCACCATTCTAACACTATTCTATTGAAGCAGATTGATCGAAGCAAAAGGACGTCATTAATATTTGATTGAAATAACTTCAGGTATACAGAAAAAACAGCCATGAACATGATAAAAATCCGTGGAATTAATAGCAAATTATTTTAAAAATAATTGATCCAAAAAATTATCAGGTCTGTGAATAAACTCGCACATCTCAAACAAATATCATTGAAATCTAACATTGAACTACAAGATGTAAATGATTTATATGCAAATTAGCTAATTAGGTGCTGTAGTTTGGTCTAAAAAAATATTATATTTAAGTTGATAGTTCAGAATGTTTTCTTTTCCCATAAAAAACAAGAGCTAATTCATAAACCTTAATTTCTTCGTTTGAGGGCGCACTCCAGATTCTGAGTTCTGAGTTCTGAAAAGTCAACTCTACCCAGTGTTATACACTGTTTTTAATGTGAATACCTGTTTAATGTGAAACATCACCTGTCAAAACTGAATAATTGTCTAATCTGAACATATCTAATCTGGGTAAAACACAATTCTTGTGTAAACTAAACATCCGTATAATCTTGACCCAGAATAGCTCCAAATCTAACTGAACCCCAGTCTAAACTGAACAATGGCTAATCAGAAGACTTGAGTAACTGAATGTCTGTCTAATGTGAACACTAATGTCTACACTAAATACCTGCCTAAACTTACCCTAGCATCTGTTTAAACTGAATACATGTCTAATCTGAGTAAAAACTGAGTAACTTAATATTTGTTTAAACTAAACATCTATAAAAACTGAACACCTGTCAAAACCATATGCCTATCTAATATGAAACTGAGTAACCCCTAAATTAAGTAACTGAACATTGTACAGGCTGAACATTTTAATATATCAACATATAACTTCAGGTTAGTTGTCATGACAACATAATATACTCACAGTCTGTTGTGTCTGCAAATACAATATTGGGGCTCTTTCCTCCGAGCTCTAATGTAACACGTTTCAAGTTGCTTGTTGCTGCAGCTGTTTTTATGATTTTTCCAACCTATTGAAAATTATAAATAATAATAAATTCTTAGACTGATGTTTATATCAAACCATATTTTATATTGTATTTTAAAATAATATAAAAACTACTAGTAGGTGTCAAAGGAATCATGCAGTGACAACATGATTTTAACTTACATCAACAGATCCAGTAAATGCTACTTTATCCACATCCATATGTTCAGAGATAGCGGCACCTGCTGTTGGACCATATCCCGGTACTACATTGACAACTCCGGGGGGAAACCCTGCCTTTATATTAAAAAAGAGATAACAATGCAACATGTGTCAAAATATAATTATTACTAATATGATGAAATGTTTTATATCACGGTATTATCATTGATACATTGTATCACATGGAATGAGAACGAGTAATGTATATAGCTATAACTATGCAAATGATTACAGTAACTACACAAAAACAGTTTTTTATAAGCATGCATGTTTTCAACAACAAATTTTGTAAAGCTGTGTCTATGATACAGTTGGCATTTTGATAGGTAGCCCTACGTGTGATATTAGGAATTCTATTTTTCTTTTCCCAATGACCAAATAATGTACCTCTTTCACAAGTGCAGCCGTATATAAAGCTGTCAGTGGTGTTTGTTCTGCTGGCTTTAGTACAACAGTGTTGCCTGCAGCCAACGCAGGCCCTAACTTCCAAGACACCATCTCCATCGGAAAGTTCCATGGAATAATTTGTCCACACACTCCAATTGGCTCATGTCTGGTATAGCAAAAGAAACTGCCATCTTAAAAAAAAAAGTTTTGAAAATTGTGATTATTTTTTCACATTAAAGGGCAGTGGTTGTCGCACCACACATGCGGAAGATATATGGGTCTCATATAAACACAGATGGCGACTTTGGCTGTTGCGAATACAAACTGAGACTTTACTAAGCTTTAATTACGAGATAGTTTTAGAGGTTTGGAAGGTGTCGAAGGAGTCATCGGCGGTAATTATAGTTACACCCATGTCAAACCTCATCCTTGTGATTTTCATTAGAAGAGTGCATTGGATTGTGGGAAAATCAATGTTTATCAACAAAAATGACACACATGTGCAGTGTGATGACCACTGCCCTTTAACTGTAAATTAACATGTGTAAAATATTATTTGATATTGACAGGGAAATGTTTATATACCGATAGGTATTGTCTTGCCATGGATTTTATCTGCCCATCCACCATAATATCGAAGTACTTGAATGACTTCCTCAATGGTTCCCATGCCATCATTGTACGGAATACCATTGTCTAATGTTTCAAGAGCCTACAAAAATCATATACAATGTACAACTACATGTAATTAAATTTGTATTGTCATTTATTCACATTTTATTCTTTTGTTTTTTGTGCCACACAACACATTGAATGTCATTACCGGTATATTGTTTTTCCTGTCATTTTTATAAGCAAATCAATCAGTGCCACGAAAAGCATATTCGATATTTAGGTTATACTCAGTGGGTGGCAGGTGAAAGGACTATATGAGGCGACATAGAGGCTACTTGATGTGTACAATTATTGAACATACAACTGAATAAAAATGTTCTATCTGAAAGCTATAAACATAACGGTATGTCTATTGTCTGTAAGAAAGAGTCACTTATTTAAGCCAAGCGTCAGAAAAGTATGTCTATAAAATTCCAGCATTCATGATTAAAATTTTGAATATAATCCTCAAAAGCATTGTTCAAACCAAAAAAAAGTCATTATTACTGATAGGAAAACAGCTCATATACAAGATGTATACATTTTTCACAAAATTGTTTGAAAGGGAATCCATTTTCATATTTCACCTGTCTGGGTACAATCTGGAGATACCGGCGACACACTGGTATTCTTTTTTTTATAAAGCATAATTTTCCAATTGATAACAGTATAGCATAAAGATATGAAATCTGCTAAATTAAATTAAATAAAATCAACATGAACATATAACCAAATTTACAATATGAATAATTATGTATTTATTGTTTAACTGTCAAATCTGTGAATTTAAAATCTCAGTTGTATGTTTTGTAGTATATGTAGCAGCAAAGTTTGTCCTGTCTTGGGTAAATATATTGAAATTCTTGTACATTAAAAAATAATTTAACAAACCGCAAAATAATCTTTGTCTCTTTCAACCAAATCTGCTAATTTATAAAGAAGTCTACCTCTAGCTGATGCATCCATGCATCGCCATGGCGACCCAAGCTTAAAAGCCTCTCTGGCAGCTTTCACTGCAAGGTTCACATCAGCCTGAAATACAAAAACAAATTAGTGGTGACTTTATATTCATAATTATGTAACTACAGTATTATATACCTGTATAGACAGTCTTTCATTCCAGAAATGTTATCCAATATTTGAGACTTCTGTTTATGCCATTTATTACATACTGTGTATTCACAGTATAATAATCAGTGGATTAAAAAGTATATTTAAATTTGTTAAAACATATCATTAATTAAACATATTGTATGCAAATGCAATCTAAAACACTATTTTCTAAATTTTTGGTGATTTGGGAATTGTTTTCATGTGTTTCATATGAAATTGTAAGGTGATTGAATATAGATTTGGAGAAAAGGTAACTTTGATAACAAATATCATCTGAAACATGGGTCTCATTGGAATTTATTTTTAGATACTACCGCTGGTAACTAATATTAGTGGTAAAATGTTGAAAGAATTAAAAGGTAGCTTAAATTTGTATTCTGAATGCGAGCTGTATAATTTATACTTAACTGTCCCCTTAGTTTGTTAATTATTCTTACCTTGTCAGCTTCCTGGACATCACATATTTTCTCACCAGTGGTTGGGTTTATGGTGGGGAATGTTTTACCACTCACGGAATTCACAAATTCATTGTTGACAAAAATCTAAAATTAAATAAAATTTAAAAAAACAAGATCATCCTGTCTATATTTATCTGGTTGCATACATTGTACACAATTGTAATGATCTGTGTCAGGTCAAAGCAATTTCTCTGTTTTCTCTCACTCAAAACTGGTCTGAAAAATATTTGACAGGGAATAACAGAAACCAAATATTTTTATAAAAAATAAATTCTCCTGCAGAAAATAAATATCATCATGAAAAATATAACTAATCTATCCGTGTTCACACATGTGCCAAAAAGCTGGTTTGGAGGCCAGCTTTATACTGTAAAATGACTAATTTTCACTGGGTTTGAATTTCGCTGATTTACCATTTCAGGCATATTTAGTGGGTTTTAAATTCACGGTTTTATCATTTAGATAATGTGTTCTATGTATGGTAAATTTGACCATAGACCTTAGTTCTAAGGTCTATGATTTGACATATTCACTGGGTTTTAGCACATTTTCCAGTCAGCAAAATAAGCAAAATTAAAACCCTGTGAATAATTAATCCTTTTACAGTAGTTCAGCTGGCGTTGAGACATACCAACACTGGCTTATTAGTAGTTCAGTCTTTATTGTTTACCAAGTTAGTGGGCTCTGCTGCACACGTGTGAACAAGGTATTAGTGATAGAAAAAATAACTTTCTCAGGAGATCACCCCTCAATATTTTATGATCAACTTACATGTGTTTTTTTAATTATTGTTCATTTTTTGATTTTATTCTGTGCATATTTTTGTTTTCACCTTACGAGATTCTAATGACACACATCCTAATATAATCTGCACCGATATCCAGCTACGTATAGAATTCAAAAAACGTAAAAATCTACGCCAACCAACCAGTTTATTCGGCCATATCCTCACCATATGATGCCCGCCTCGGGAGAAACAGAGCTAATTGGAGAGGGATCGAGGTCATTTCATGTTTTGTTTCCCCCTTGTGATTAGTATACCCCGTAGTCATAATCCGACAGAGGAACTGTGGTATAGTGCAGGCTGGTCGGCCAAAAATAAGCCGAGTATTAGTTATTTTGGGCGTTTCGGAGCGCGGGTGATTTAATTTAATGACATATCTTTGCATGACATTACCAAACTGTTATTATTTCTATTGCTTTGAGCATGAACGTCCATGCATCGACTTCAGCAACCAACCTGAGTAGATTGAAAGTATTAGTACACGCGCCATTTAACAATGATATTTATTTAATTACCCCTACCTTTGTACTGACTTACCTGTGTATATTTCACTTGTGGGGTGGGTATTATTTGCTTAGCCATAGCAAGAAGCGAACACTGTTAAACAGTCTTTCATCAGCTAACGTGTGGTTGAACCAGCCCTGTCAGTGAACTTTCCCATAGTCACGTGTACACAGTCAGCT